ACACTTCGCCAAAAAAAAAAAAAAACGCAAGCCGGATTCCGGAACATCGATAAAAGCCCAGCACCCCCATCGCAGATTATGCGTGAAAAACCCTGTGATTCCCGTAGTGCACTACCCGCTACCCCCCAGGAGAGCTTTTTTGATGCCAAGACTCGTAGCGGAGGCACTTGTACCCTGCCAGAGTTCTGGTCGACTGTATGCCAGCACTCCGTGTCCAAACCTGCTCCAGCAGCACAAAACGATCGCAAGCCTTTGGAGCCAGGCGGCTCACAAAACAAATGCATTCAGGTACAAGGAGTGAGCATGTGAAGTAAAGCTCATGGCTCATGCCGGCTTTGCCGACTGGCACAGATCGAAGCGTGCCTAGAATTTGCTTGTATGCCATGCCTTCCCTTTGTTTAATTTGAAACTTGATGAGGCCACTAGCAGATGCAAAAGTTGTTTTACTGTAGGTCCTCTCTACGTCCACGTGGGGTGGGGTCGAAGTAGGTGGCAAGGTGGTAAAGGCTGAAGAGCCAATTCTTGAAGCCCTGGTGCCTCGCACCGCCCAAAGGGGCCATACTCAATGCCCTTGCAACCATCTGTCAGGCGGCATCTCATCTTGCACTCACCTCCAGCCAGAAATGAAGCCAGAAAGCCAGGCAGCGACACAGCAGATTAGTGTTGCCGCGTGCTCCAGACCAGAGCTTCCATGAGACTGCGCACTCTGAGTGAAGCGAGCTTGACAGTCGACTTCACAAAGCACACAGCCACTTACTTCCCAGAGCGAACAGAAACAAAGCACAGAGTCTCAAGCTGAATTCGCAGGAGCGTATTAGTGCAGGAAAGAGACTCAGAGTCTGGCCAGAAAAGAGGATAAAGTACATGTTGTTGTTGTCCCACCAAGCTTCGCCTCTGCAAACCTGTGGTCACAGCAAGTGGCATGCCAGGGTTCAAGCGCATGTCGTCGAATACTGTTTCTTGACTCTGAAACACGGCGGGAATGCACGCCTGGTCAGCTCCTCCACCCAGCTCCACGAAGTCCGGGTCCGTCGGGCAGAGTGTTATGTTGTAGCCTGCCCTGTTGGGAATAGTGTCATCTTCCTGGCTCTCCGCAGTTCGGCACGTGAAGGTGCTGGTCTCATCATCGAATGCCTGGGCTGGCCGCCAGGGGTGGCCCACATCTCCCTTGGCCTTGCTATTCGACACCAGAGGCCAAGGTGCGAAGGTGTAGGCCGTCGGACAGCCGGCCTCATGAGCTCTAAACGACAGTCTGAGCTCCACAGCCACCGAAGCAGCGGCAACCAAATTCAGCCAAACACCCGAACCTGGCCTATCGTTCCCCTACTCTCTGGCACAGTCCAGCCATCACCCTACACATGCTGCCCTCTGACACGATGCTCAGAACAGAATAGCAAAAAGATAGATTCAGAAAGGTCGACAAAAAGGAGATATGAACAGCCACCTGCCACCCATCTGCACCCACACGCGAAACTCCTCAACCCGCGCCTTCAGAATCTCGTAGAAAGGTTGAGCGGTCGCCTGCCATGTCTGACTGGCTCCCTGGCAGCCTGATCAGCATGGCAACACACTTGACAAGTCTACCAACTAGCAGCAGCTGCAGCACTGCAAGTTGACAGGCCTGCACTGCTGTCTATCGCAGAAACAATGAGCACTTCATTCCCTCAAGGAAGCCTGCCTTTGCCACCTTCCGGTATAGGAATTCCCAGCGCTTCTGTCCAGTTGGCACATCCGCAGCACTCACCACCAGCGGGTACCTCAGAGTAGCACCAGGGCAGCTTCATAGCAGCACAGACCCCTTATGCTTGAGCTCTGTAGTAGTGTTGAACACAAAGTAAACCTTTTACAGGCAACCTAGACTGTGCAACCACCTTGAAGGAAGTTGCGTTGTTGTAGCACGTTGTTGTCCAGGGAGCAGGGCCAGCACCTCAGACCCGCACATATCTGCACGGGCAGCTGCTGTTGCATGGACCGAGTCCACTGGTGCAACTCGAACGCAGTCCCAGGCGCAGGCAAACATGTAGTGCATGCTAGGGCAATCGATCAGTCCATCGAAAGGGGCAGGGCTGCGATACGTGTTCCCACTCCAGACACAGAGCTGGTAGACTGACCACATGCCAATCCGATGGCCGCACCTCGGCTTGAAGCTTGCATGGCCAGACTTTTCCAAACCGGGCTACACGCAATATTTGTCAAGGCAAGTCTCTCCATGGTAATCTGTGTCGTCGGACGATACACTCTCGCCACCCAATCCCAAACCGTTTTGGCAACCTGCCCACATACCTTTCGCAACCAGCCCACTGATGGCAAGTGCAAAAGCTGCCAGGCAGTCTTGACCAAGGGCAAGATTCCACAAGAGTCCTACATCTTTCAGTGCAGTCGACTGGCAATGTCCTGCCCCTGGCAATCTGCATGCGTCCGGCAGTAGCCATATCCCCCATCGACTTGCATTAGCAGTGGGCTGATGTCAGCCTGGACAGGTTGTTCATCTGAGAACTCAGAGCAGTGAAGTCTTTGGATCTGGCTGCACAGCTTGGAATTGGCAATCCATCGTCAGTCCATGCGAGCCGAGCAGCTTGTCCCAGCGCCTGGAGTCGCTTGGAGAACTCCCACGGGCAAGCTGACAAGCGCCTGCCAAAGCGCTCAATAGCCGCGACTTGTACTCGCCTGAACTCCGAAATGTTCCTCCAAATGCATTCATTCAAGCCTCCGCAAGCATTGGAAGGATAAGGGTGGCTGGGCGGCTCAGCATTGTAGCTAGCTTATTGCATGCCCGAAGTGTCACACTTTCACAGTTGAGGCACCAATGTAAAATTTTGCAGATCGTCCACGAGCCAAGCAAGACGTCTTGAGATCAGAAGCTGCCCCCACCATACTGTGACGGCTGAACAGCGGCGCCTGTCTGCTTGCGCCATAGCTCCAGCTGCTCCACAGTTGTAGCCCCTACTGTCGGCACCTTCGCGGCGTTTCGCAGCCATCACAGCACCATCACAGCACCCTCACCGGACTTCAGTGGGCCTGCGTGGACGACAGGTCGGAAGGATCCGTCTGGCTTCATCCTGGCACGAGGCTCGAGTCGGTCCGCACATGTCGCTCAAGGACTAGGATCTTCCGCGCTTCTTGCAGTTCCCAATCGCGGGGCACTGAAACCCGGTGCAGGTGCCCTTTATTGCACCCCGACAGCCCATACTCCAGATAGCAGGAGCAGCTCTGACCCAAAAGCACCCCCGAGCTGAGATGCAACTGAACGGAGGCGAATTCATCACTTTCAGCTTTCGACACAACCATGAGTGCTTTCGTGCGCAATGTACACCAAAGCAAAGCATCTTCGAGAACTTGGCCGAGTCACTCGATGCCAATGTTAAACCCGTTGATGATCGAAACATCATAGAAGTCTGCACCCTGTGGAACGAAGGTGAACTCGACGGCCGTGGCAACTCCGTTCAGTCCCTGACCATGCACCCGCGAGACTAATCGTGTTCTACTGAGCCGTGCAGTGGAGCGTGCTTACACGTTTAACACATCTGAACTCCCGGAGCCTGGTACGTCGGACACTTGCTTTGTCCGTTGCAGAGAGCGGATGCCGGCGGCCCCATGTCCATGCTGGCGTTGGGGTAGAACTCAGAGCCGGGCAATAACAACGGCACGGTCAGCGATGCACCGCTGCCCTCGAGGCCTCCAGTTTGCCGCTCCAGTCTGCAACCACCTACCGGCAGCAGGTTCATCCCTTCGCATTGCACGCTCACTGCTAGGGCCATCGATGTCATGACAGCAAAGTGGGGCAAGCTGGGGGAACCCACGCCGTTGCCCTGGCGAACGGCAACCTTGGTGTGACTTCGAACTGCTTCGAATGAGCCCGAAGCATCAAGCAGGGTCGAACAGATGAAAGCCGAAGCACATTTGGAGTGTAGAGCTCCACCGTGGCTCCAGGTTGAATCGTCCATCCTCGCAGATTGGACAAGGGGGGTTGGCAGCGTTTTGTGCCATTGTGTGAAACCTGTGATGTGCCTGCGGACGGTTCGGGAAAGTCGAAGTAGCAGAACCTCGAAATGACGCCGTCAGCTAAAGCACCAGGTTACTGTGCTGATAGAGCCAGCCTGTCGTATGGATTGCAAGTCATCCCACCGGGACATCCAGAACCACATGGGATCTCCTCGACGATGGATTAAATCACGAGGGATTAAAAACAGTGCCCTCATTCACAAGGGATACTCTGACAACCGTCCGAACTCTCAGAAATACGCAGGATCGCCAAGCGTCACTGTTGCCACCAGTTGGATGCATTATCATTGGCCGATTGCACCGGTTGATGACCTGTAGCCTTCGGCCTGATCCCACCAGGTACAAGGTGCAAGACGAGCGCATTTAGTGCAGCGAGTGAAGCAGAAGGCATCAACCCGGCGGAAGCGCTCACGGTTTGAACATGTCACGAAGACGAGTAGATCTATTTAGCAGATCTCCCTTCGGTTCCGTGGGTTCTTTTTTTCATGGCTGCTCATGGCCTTCATCAGAACGCGCTGGTGGCGGGACCGTGGTGACCGGCACGGTGGTGGTAGGCCAGGGCAGCCATGGCCACCAGAGGTCAGTGCCATTCTCGCCACCCTGCACCTTCTCAAAACAAAAGGGGAGGACTGGTGGTTTCGTTTCACCCCGCCTCAGTTGTATTCGGCATGGTGTCAGGGTCGCTTTCAGCACGGCGTTGAGCCGCCCGAACTACCTCTTTTGCAGCAGGATCTGGTCACTTACGCCCCTTCGGGCCTTCTGTGGGCAATCTTCTCTGTGATGCTCGTGTAGCCCAAGCAGCTGCCTGGATGAAGGTGGAGCCGCCTGGCTCGTGCGGACCCTCGTAAAGACACTGCTGTGCTGAGAAGTGAAGCTGCGGCCTTCGCGGCTGACATGCTTACATGTGCAAGCAAGATTCGAGGCCTATCCTTGCAGGAATAAGTCAACTACATACTCCCAAGTTGGAGTTCACTGCGTCGCCTGTTTTTCCGCCACCTGTCTGCCCTCCAACCTTGGCTGTGCGCTCCCAAGAGAAACCATTCCCAGAAAAGGATGCTCGTGAACGAGAGAAGAGTCTTGTATGCCTGCAGATCTTTATGCTGGCGACATAGACATCTGAGGTAGACCGGCAGTCGCCATCGCCGTCTTCGCGACGGTTCCTGCAAGTGGACCTCGGACAGCTCGATAGACCTCGGCAGGGAGCAACACGAGCCAGGCGACTGTGGATTGACCCTCAAGTTTCAGAAGGCATGAACGAGGCACTGATGCACCTACCCTACGGTCGCCGCCTGGCTCAGCAAACGCGTGTTGCAGCACAGGCAGTGAAATCCACAGCCGATGGAGCATCGCGGTGTGAAATCCTTGCGGTCCTAACTACACTCTCCGACGGTTCAATACTACTCCATCTCATGTCTCATGGCCTGCAGAGCTGCGACTGGCTGAGTGCCGAAACGGCATGAGAAACAAGCGTTGAGTCCACGGCACACTTCGGCAACAGCTTTCCAGCCTAAAAGGTTGCCCAGGAGGACACTGCGAGGCTGTGCACCATCATGCTGCCACGAGCTGAAGACCTGCAACGGCACCACATCTGTGAGAGTAAACGGCAGCTCCGTCTCGCCGCATCACGAGTGGATCTCAAGGAAAAGCATTTTCTTTGCGCTCGTAGCAAAAGGCAAAGGCTTGTGCCTGAACAGCCGCAGCGCCCCACGCAGCACTTAAAAGTGGCAGCTGCACCTGCACGACAGGGGCCAAGTTGCTCTTTATTGCATCTCCCCTCAACACAACACACAGAGCTCCACTGCAGCCAATCCAAGGTCGTTCCAGATTGCCTGGTATGTCTCACCTCAGCACTAGAAGTCAGGGTCCACCTGCAAAGCAACTAAACCCAATCAATAAGTGTGTTAGTGCAGTCAGGTGACTCAAGCTGCTCAGACAATGCTCTTGCAAAAGGCCGAGCAGCGCAATGAAGATAAAACAGCCGAGAAATGTGGAACCTAAGAGCGAATTTGCAACACGCGCCTTTCTGCACATTGAAATCTCTGCACAGGGAGCGGACATGCGTGGCAAAGTCCATCGCCTTCGTCTGCCACACTTTGGCTCGCACCTCGGAATAACACTCGCGGTGCCAGACCGTGCAACCTATAAGGCAAACCTTGCAAGCTCGCCCACGTGGATAATGTATAACAACAACAATCATTAATGAAATGCAGTGTTGTGGAATCGTTGTCAAATTTGCGAACCACCGGCATCTTGTAGTTCTTCGAAATTAAGGAAGAACCATTGCAGGAGCACGCATGAGATGAGACACTCCGGGAGCCGAGAATGTGCCCCTCGCAATGTGGCGGGAGCTTCGATTTCGGGAGGCGGAGATGCGCCCCTCCCTGTAGCGAGATAGCACTATTGGAAACTTTGGCAAATTCCAACACAACCGGATTTCAAGACCACATCGACGAAGCGCAGGGAGCCAAGGGCACTTTGGCGGGAGCGCGTTCATCAAGTTCGGAAACGCCAGCGGAGCCATTGGATTTCATAATGAATCCTAGCTCTTGCCTACGAAGCTCTGAAGACTTCTTCCTTCAAGCGGCATAGACGGGCAGCCTGCGGGCGGCGCCCCAAATCCAAATGATCTTAAAAAGGTTGACGGCGCCTCAACGAGATTTTCATTTCGCGAAATGGCGGAAAAACGCTCCAGACCATCCCAGCCCTGCCCACGGGGAATGATGGACCTGTTCAACGCCTGAACCTCAACCAATATGCCAGAGTTCTAAACCCGCACACTTTCGATGGGTAGCACCCCAACAATGCTCCCGCATAGCAAACCGAAGCACCCAGCATGTGACAGGTCGCAAGCTCTAAAGACGAATCATATTTTACAACTTCAGACGCTGAAAGACTTGACAGGCATTCAACCCCTACCAGGCAGGAAGCGACCCGGAAAGTTTCGGGAAGCAAGCCCCACGTCCAGAAAGCCTTCATGGGTGGAGAGAACCTACGGCGGCAACACAAGACTGAGCCATTGGCCACCTTCCAGTTTGTCGGCGTAGCATGCCCACCAATCGGACAGTGTCTCCTTCATCGGGCAATGAACATGCACGCATGTGCACCATGCCGGAACTTTGTCGGCCTCCAAGACGTTGGTGTGGCTTTCTTTTCATCCCTATGCTGTGTCTGTCTGAATCCGTTTTGTCAAGTTTATCTGGTGCTGCATGCTTCTTTCTTTCCTTGATCGTTACACTCCGCCGACAGTTGCATCAGTTGGGATTCACGGTGCATTGTCAAGCATGGGCTGCAGAACGGGATTTCCCATCCTCATCTCGCTATGTGCGGCTTTGCCCTTTCCCTCCCTCCGTTCTTGCAACTCTTGCTTAAGAGCCTAGGAACTGCAAAACACGATCCCGAGTCACTTATGTCACTTTGGACCCAACTGTGATTTGATGGTCCTTGATTTATCCCTGCGACTCGCCTGCGCCCACAACCTCTGAGCCCGAGGACGCGGATGTGATCGCCTCAGGGGAGGGTCTGCAGATTGAAGCCCGGGTCCCGTGCCGTCCAACCCTGGTAAACCCGGGGGGCTTGCCCGGTTGTTGCAATGACCTCTGCACACTCGCGACCTAAGGGATGAGGGCGTCTACAAAAAATTACACACTGCACGGCACCATCCTGCGGCTGTCTAGAGCCTCCCGGATTTCAGTGGGAATCCTGTCTGTGATAGAATCTTGCTCAGCACGAGGCTGTCGGCTAGCATCATCCAGGTCCATTGGTCAAGTCAATGCTACATGTTTCGAGGCATGCTTGATCAGCCCCTATCTACTTCGGATGTGCTCTCATGCTGCGCTTGCTTTGCAGCACATCCTCGCTCGTGCACACTTTGGAGATCCGGGCACCGCGAACACATGTCAAGGACTTTACGCAGCTTATTCCATCGTGGGCGAAGAGAAGCAGCGCCAATTATCTGCATTGTGTTCATCTGGAGCAGGCACTGTGCCTCTCGAGCCATTGCACACTAAAGCAAAAGCTTGACGAGGCAACAACGGACCATCAACCCTCGATGGCTCGCGTTACGTGCGTTGGTGCAACGCTTGCATCTAAGGTCAGGTCGAAACAATGCGCGCTTAGTATGGGCCCTCAACCCTGGCATCCTTCTATACCTATACTGTGCCTATACTGCCTATACTCTATACCGTCTATACCCTATATGCCTTCAGGGTCCCTAAGCGTCCATATCAGGGGCCCATACTTCCAACCTGAGATTCCAGCGAGGCGAGGGCATGCTATCAGGTCCTGAAGTCCCAGAAGAACGGCGACTAAGGTGCCCTTTTTGTATCATCACAGAGCCGCTGCCAGGAGCACTGTCAAAGTACCTGCAGGACTGCCAACCCTAGAGGACGAGCAGATGAGCAAAGTCGCGGGTCAAGGGATGTGGCACTTCACAACTACAACGCAAATCCATGCAAACCTTATGAATTCTGACAGCACCAAGGGGTTGATTCCTTGCTAGCTCTCTGTCTGTCACACATGCATCACAAGCGAGCAAATGCGAGGCTCTGCGATGCCTGCTCTCCTCGAGAACTTGGCCTCAGGCAACTCGGATGCGTAGCACAACGCGCAATTGAAGCAATCCCTTCCCAAGCCTTACAATGCACTCAAACCCATCATAGCCAACGGTGCTTTCACATAATGGACACATGTGCGTCTGCAGCACTCACCCACCCGCTCACCCGCTCACCCAGCCCTCACCAGCCCGCCAGCTTACAGTCATTCACCACATCGACATCACCCATCCATACCCATCCCACACATGCAAACAGCCCCCTGGCAGCACGGCCCAGCAAGATCCAGGCCAGTTACAGAAACGTAGTACAAGTCGTCAACACTGCTGTGAGGGACCACACATACACTGTATGCTTCGCATAATAAAGTCCAGCGAAGTGGCTGCAGACTGGTCTGGCGATATGACATCAAATGGAAGTGCGACCTGTCAGAGCGTAAGCAGTTCCTGACCCCACCTTGGCCCCCTAGATCCTGCCTCCAAATCTTTCCATGCACCAGAAGCACTGCCCAAGCGGACCGTGCCAGAACCAATCTCCAGCACGGCATCTGTTGGAGTCAGCGTGTCCTCATCTTGAAGAAACCACATCAAAGATCAGCAAAGCCATGTGAGAATTTGACGGTTCTTCTACTTGTATCACAACGCACTTGCCTTCTGAAAGACCAGCCGAAGTTGTCGACGCTGAGCTACAGGATCCATGGTCTCTTCCAAGGTGACGCTCGGCTGTACCATTGATTCGTGGCTCTCAGTTGGCTCTTCAATGGGAGTGTTTTCAAGCTGTTGAGTCTGTTGAGACGAACCCAGGTCGTCTGCCTCAGGTCGCGCGGCAAAAATGCGCTTCATGAGCTCAGCAGCCTTTAGTCGCATTGCAGATTCCGCACCTGCTGGCTCCAACACTCTCAGATCTGTGCGGCGACAAATAGCTGAACCACCTGCTTCCCAGTGCACGGAAAGACGCTCTGCAGGAACGCCGCAGCTCAGCAGCCATGCTTCCGCTGCTTCTGCTCTTTCTTTCGCAGTCTCGGCAACCTCGCGATCCTCTGCATGACCAATAATTTCTAAACGACGCCGTTGGCCAGCACGCGGCTCCAGAAGAGTCTTCACGAGTGAGTGCAACACAGCCTCTTGCATCGCAGGCACATTGACCTCTTCCAGTCTGTATTGAAGAGACTTATGTCCCGTCACTTCCAAATTTTCTTCCAGCTCACTCTGGGTTGTCGCATTCTTGCTGTCCTTCAGATTTGCAGCAGCTGGCTCATTTTCCGAGACAAACTGCGCTGCTGCCTGCTCCGATCTTTCGGCCTCGCGCAGTTTGCGTCGTAACCGGGCCACTTCCTTTTCCTGGTCGGACACAGCCGCCACAATCCGATCACGATGATCCTGTGACACGGCTTCCTCCTGTACAGATGCGTCTGCTTTCATGCCCTGGGATTCGGAACGAGTCAGTAATGGCGTGATCAAGTTCTGCACCCAGTCATAGAGGCAGCCACATAGCCTGTCCGTCTCAACTATTTCTTCTCGTGTCACAGGCGTGTCGCCAACCAATATTCTCTGCACATGCTTGGCCAAGCGTTCCCCAAACGGCTGTCTGCGTAAGGCTGCCACTATGGAAGCCATAGGAGCATGTGCCGCCGTGGCGGTACTTGTGCCCGCGCCTGTAGCCTGCGGACAAACTGCACCCACTGTCAGCCTATGGCGAAACCTGCCGGCAAGCTAGAGCTAGAGGCAAACCAAAGTTCGTCAGATCATTGACAGGACTGATTCGGTGTGGCCTTTTTAGGAAGCGGTATCCTTCAACATGTAACGGGTTGTTCCTATAGCCAATATTCACAGCAGTTTTGGTCTTTGTACATCAGCACCAAGGCTTTTGCGGTCTAGGCGACTGAATGTGCCCGAAACTGTGGGCGTGCACACAATGTCTTGGTGGAATCAAGGCAACGAAAGCCCACAGGCGGCAGGGGCCGGCCCAACCCAGCCATGGAGAGGGAGAAATCCTAGACTCCGCGTTTTTTGCCATGGCGGACGTGGACATTCCTGACACTCCGCATGAACCCCTTAACCCATTCAAACAGAAGAGCTCAAGCAATGAAGGTTGGCAGACCATGTGTCGCCACCTCGGTTCGAGAAGGAATCCAAAAAGCCGGGAAGCTAAGAAATAACAAAGCAAAAAGTTGACAAGTGGGGAGTCTAGAATGCCGACAACCTAACGGGAAATGGTACAGCAGAATGACAATGCATGACTACATGCTCACACTTTAGCCGTCCTGTCTGGCATTCTGTCTCTGTCTGAAATCGTTGTCTCCATGGTGGATGGTGGCCATTGTCCGACATGCTGAGGGTACTTTCTTTAAGAGGCCAAGCCCAACAGTTTTGCATTCTGCGCGTTTGTAACACTCGGTCTTGATGCTTTGTTTACCCCGATATTACAATACTTGCAGCAAATCCCACTGGCATCGGGGTCAGAGCCAAGTCTCGCCTCACATGGCTTGCGGAGGAGAAGCTGTAGATTCCTCCACGGCACACGCCAGGGCAAAGGATGCTCTCCAAGATCCACCAGCAGCGGTGCCTGGCTGAACATTGCGTCTAAAAGACACGACGGAAAAAAGGGATATAGCCTCCAGCAACAGCATCACTGCGACGGCCAACCTGGTGGGATTGCACAACTTTTCTTCCTGTGGTCTTGTTTTGCAAGGCTACGTCTCCAAATCGTCTTCACGCATGAACGGCAAGGGGCCGATGTAGAACTGCAGGAGGTGGCTCGTGATGAGCAGCCATGGCCTGAAATTCTGCTTTAAGTGTGTTTCATTCACAAGAAACCTTCTTTGATCAACCTAGATCAACCTAAGCAATAAAAACATGGCACCCGCACCTTCATTGCCAAGTCCTCTGGAGGGTCGCAAGGTAGTTGCACGTTGGCAACGTGCGCCGAACGTTCGCCAGAAGGGAACTGGGTGCAATTGCAGATTCATATGAGCCGATTGTCGCATTCAGAGCTGAAGGCACCACTTGCTGCGGCTGAATGCCCTTAATGCTCAATGCCGCCTACAACCTGTGGCAAGCATGGGCGCAACAGCATGACAAATCGCATGCCGTTGCACCTTGCTGCTTTCCAACTCCAGCCGGTACTGTCGCCGCTTCCGCAATTCGGCCTGTGCAGAATGATGCAGCGAACGATCATATTTCTTCCTCATGCCCAAGCACGACACACATGACCTCAGCCTGTATAGTGTCCAACTCTGCGTGTCTGCTAGACCGTGCATGCTAGGCCAGGCCTCTGCATCCAGCAAGAGGCTGCGGAGATGTGCTATATGAGCAGGCTCCGCTCCTGGACGAGCTTCTGAAACAACAGGCAATCGATTCTGCTTGTAACGGCATGCTGGCAATTCAAACGAACGTTTTGACCTGATGCCGGGACATCACATAAACACCAGCAGAACCAAAACAACACGCAGGAAAACGAATATTGAGTGCACATTAATGTTAGGTCTGACGGCCCCCGCTTTTGCAAGTTGACCACATGCATACAGTCAGCACAGTTTGCAGAAAGAGTGTCACACGAACTGGAGACCGCATGATACAGCCGAGCATTAATATGCCAAAGCATGCAACGACAACATGGTACAATCCCCACGCAGGATCCTGCTTCTCGAGTTTTTCCGTGGTCGATGTACCCTGCCTGAGAAAATCGCAGTTCAATCTGTGACGATGCAGCTGTAGAAACACTTTGATTGAATCTCAGCTGCTGACGTGCATTGAGGCGGAACAGAACGATGTCAATGCGGGCTGTCATGCAGTCTCAATTGCTTCGATGTTTTGTTCAAAAAACCTTACTACTGTTGTGCTTAAGATTTGAAACAGTTGGTTTGAATGGGTCACAGCATTCGAAGATTGGCGTTTTTGAAGGCTGAACAGGCTTTGTCATGGTTCGAAGAGCCAGAGCGCGTTAACGGTTGAATGGTTCTTGAACAACAATTCACACTGCACCTCAAGGCCAAAAGCAGGTGCAAACCACTCTTAATCTTTTCTACAACTTCAATAAAGCTTAACAAATAAAGCTTAACAATCCTGAACATGTTCAGCAGTTTTAAAACCGTTTAACACTCTCAAACACCGTAAAACACATCTTGGATTTTAACGATGCATAACCAGCCGAGAAATCTTTAAAAACAACGGAAAACTTGAAAACTCTTTCGCAACTCAATCTTTGAGCATGCCGGAAAAGTTTTTAAAAAAAAATAATTGAACAGATGCGAAACATCGGGAATCTTTGTGACATTCTTTCGTTGTTTCGTAGGGACTCCCCGCTCCCTTTCACAGTGAAGTGAAAGACTGCCTGCTGACGTTGTAACAGGTTCCAGGTTGACAAAAGGCAGTTTGGATGTCAAGTAACTGCTCCAACGTCTTTTTGAGACTGTCGAAGCTTCCAAAAACAAGTAAACCACATCCTGCCTCCAAACCAGTATCCAAGCTGGAAAAGTCACACATGGAAATGCACACCTTCGTTTCAGAGGGTGTCTTCCAATAACATATCGAAAGCTCTCAAAAAAAAAACAGGCAAGAGCACTTTTCTACGGTTTTTTCCGGTCTTGGTTTGGCGGATTAAAACTGTCACTTCATCGGGACAATTTCAACAGAAGCAGCATTTTGCTTCTGCGGTTACCGTCAAAACTGTCGCCTGCTCCCGCGCATGGGCACTGAATTCGATTGCAAAATCTGTACTGTGCCTCGAGCAAGCGGGACGACCTCTCTCTTCTATCTATGTTTCAAAACTGCGTTATGTTACGGTGTGGTCTCTGGCTGTTTCGTTCGCAGGGTGAGTCCTTCTTCCCCGTCCCGGCCGGAACTCGCTCCGAAACGTGGCTTAGGAGGCCAGAGCTGGCTTTCAGAACGCACGAAAGTGCGCGCAAAGTCCATGCAA